ATTAATATTTGTTAAATATTTATGATACATTCGAATTATATAATAATTTTTACTTAATACCTACCCAAATAATTACATTCTGTTATTAATGTATACACGTCTACATACAGTTTTCAAGCTTTTAAAATGCGTGACTCAAACATCGGCTTATTTTCAGATTCTAGAAAATTACGAATGAAAATTCTTAAAAATAAAAAATACGTCTAAGTATGCGATTAAAATTTTTAAATTTAAAATCCAGACATCACAAAACAAGTTTGTACCGAGTCAGATTTATTACATTTATTTTACTTTCAGAACAGATATGCAAATAAATCAAGTCCCGAGCGTCATAATAATATCAACTATATTATGTTATAAGTATTAGTAAATTGTAAGGTTTTTTGTAGACTTTATTGCCGACGTGGCGTGTTTTTAGAGTGTTTTGACGATGGAAGCCTCGCCTCGTAGTATTTCGTTCTGACTATTGCAACCCTCGAGCCACTGTTTGGAAATAAGTTTATATACAGATCTAATATAAACGGTGAATTTGTAACTATACTCCGTCTGGGGAACACCTCGGTGCATAGATATTGTCCAACGCGACATCGAATTAAATACATATTAGACACGTCGTGGACAATTTTGAGTGAATTCCCCGCACAAGACATCCGCAGAGAATAAAGCATAATATTTACCGTCTGTTATGCCTACAAGCCGACCAGATATGCAGATCTCGTTTAATGTATTAGTGCATTGCATTAGTGTTGTTTTCGACGGTAAATACTTAGAAGGTTTCAATGGACGATTGTTTCCGACGGGGATGCATTCTGGGATGACTTGACACAACGTGAGATTGGTCACGATCGTAGTATATTATAATAGGCGTTTTCCTGCACACCCGAGTATTTATAATTTACCTATGCAGCACATTGTCCCATCATAAATTCTTGTTAATAATAATTCGTCGCTTGGCGTGAAATTATAGCTTCCATATCAACGGCCTATCGTACACGTGCTGTAAATTACCTTTTCGTAATTGTTCAGGAGAACGCTTGTAAAGTTTAACAGTTTAAAAATGTTATACATTTAACTATCATGAACTCTGTGCAAACATATAGAGTAAGGTTAAACTTAGTTCATAAAAAAAAGTTCCTACATGTGCTATATTTGACGTACAAATTAAAATAAAATTTATGCAATATTTATATAATTTGTATACGGTATTGCAGTGGTACTTGCAATAACTTAAAATGTGTCACAAATACTCACATTTACCCAAAAATTTCGATTTTGTTCAGGAGTGCCATATATGTATTGTATAATTTATATTGTATAGGTACATTTTAAAATATTGTGAAAAGAAAATCTTTCGATATCGGTGCTATACTTAACTTTACTAATCTCATGCACCACTCGTGAGTTATACTTTCCAATAAATAATGTGTTGTAACATATAGGTGGCATTAATTTGATAAATTAAGCCAAAATTCCTACAAAAAAAATATATAATTCAATTAATGTATAATTAAAATGAAAATACAAATAAATACATTTTTAATATTTTTTTTATAATTTTATAAGAAAAACGTTATATAGTAAGCTTTTATCAATATTCAAGTGAGTAAAAAAAATACTTCAAAATCTAACCAAATTTTTATACTGTTAATCTTAAATTTATCTTACATAAATATGACTTCCTTAGAAAATATATACCTCAAATTGTTAAATTGTTTCAATTGATTAATTATTAATAAAATTAATCATTGACAAATTTGAATAAGACAACGCCATAGCTATACAAAAAAAGTGAAATATTTTGAGTTATATACCTAAAAGCAATATAATGCAGACAAGGACATTAGCAAACTTGGTATTCATAAAGACAACTATGGAAATATACCAAGTTGTATAACACACTTTGAAGTTTGAAACATCAGGAGTATTCTTAGCTGAGGAAATTGGTATTGTAAATAATGCAAAAGCTTGTATTTTAAACAATACAGGTAATCAAGACAAAATAATACAGAAGAAATTAAAACTTTTCAACAAAAAAAATAAAAATTGGTACCTATATAAATATAGCTATAACACTATAACGGAAATAAATTCAAAAATCTTAGAAGGCACGGGAAACTACTCTCACAAATACATATTTCAGAAAAATTAACTTCAGAATTGTTCGTTATTTTTAATATACGTTTCCTTATATACCCGTAGTCGTTGAATGGAGCTTTTCCATATATAAAAATATCCTATCATACAGTCAGACAACAGAAGATCTTTGGTGCATGAACATAATAATCAAAATAGGATTATTCGATGCGATGCTCATAATTATATTGTATTACTAGCTGATTCCGTGCATTTCGTTTCCCTTTAAATGTACCAACTCTACATGACTCAAACTTTGTTCAATTCGTTATTTAATATTCGGTGTATGGTGTTCAAAATTTATCTTAACTTTTCTGTTGCCTGGAATAAAAATTCTATATAATATTATAAAATATTATCAAGTAGGCAATCTACCCGAGTCTGTCGACCAATATTTCCTCCTCGTCCATGAACACGTGGCATCGTGATTGTTTTATGTACGCTCAACGCTGTGTGTGTGTGTGTGGGTGTGTGTGTGTGTGTGTGAGTAATATAATATAATGAAATAATTTATTCTCCTCCTAAATGAGGCCCAGTCAACAAAGAAGCCGTTACACCAGCAGTCGTGTATTATTATATTCGTAAAATATAATAATATGAAATAAGTATAGTACAGCGAAGTGCCGCGACCAGGCAGTCATAACCAACTGACTTCATGGAGCTTTATTTCCACGACGACGATGGGACTTTAACCGAAATACGTTCCATAACGCTGCTGAGTTTCAGTTTTCCGACGATATTATTATATAATTTTTGGAGGTCTAACTTTTTTGGTAATTTTTATTTGTGGTGCACGTTTTCGTAATATACTGTAGGTCTGTACGACTCTGGTGTTATAACGCGATTATTTCGATTATGTCGATCGTATATATGATTATTATAATATGGTTATCTTTTCACTAAATCTTTCATTGATTACTCCACATGATATTATAGTATATGGGTTTACTACTTATACCATGATATCGGTATACAATGCACTTGCGCCCAGTGGCGTATTTGAGGGTGGGGCATGGGTTTATGCCCCCCCCCCCCCTCGGAATTATTCATTGGTGATCAAGGTTATATCCTACATATAGGTAATAAAATGATATAGTATTTGTACAAGTGATATTTATTATTTATTTGGTATTTTACATTATTATCAACGTTACCAAAATGTATTGATAATTATATCAGCCAATTCTTGTCTAAATTCCCATATCACGGTTGTAGTAATACCACAGAATAGATGAAATCTATTTCATTATTAAGTCAGGTGAAAATTGTATGTACCTATTGAACTAAAATTGTTTTTGCACTGTATATTTAAAATATTTTTCACTGCTTTCTGGGTCGTAGATTGGAGACCTATGCTGGACAGGCTAGAAGGTCGTAATATTTGTTTAGTATACAAACAAACGTGTAAGTTTTCTTGGAAATCTATACTGTTTTTTTGGTTCAGTTAATTCAAAAACAAATAATCTCAGATGGTAATATTATTACTTGAAATTTTTACCTACCAAATATTCACATATAAGCATTTTCTGTACATAACGAAAATTGTCAAAATATTTTCAAATTTTTGAACTATAAAAGACATATTATGACTTTTTCGATTTTTTTTTTCGTTAAATGTCGAAAAAATAGATCTTTACATAGATAACAAAAAAAAAAAAAAAACTAAACTATAACTTCAGTACAATTATTATTTTATAGTCACGATGTTCACAAGCCACATAAACTAATTTTCCACTAGCGTGTTGACGCTTCCTTATAATAACAAATAATTTAATAATACTTAATAAAAACATATTAAATAGATAACAATAAACTTTATTTGGGAAATTCATAATTATACAATACATTTGCAAAAGGCATAACAATATTATATTCTAGGTGTACATTTTTATATTATACAAGTTACATATTTTTATATAATTACAAGTTACATACAGTCACACTATTTAAAATTATATACAAATGACAAATGACAAAGAGAGGTTTTAGGTATGGCATTATATGGTGTTCGATATGTTACAATATAAAACATAGATTTTAAAGCATATTATTATGCTTATTTTTTATATGCCAGATAAAAATCTAATTTGTATACATAAATTAATTTTATGCTATTCTGATTCCAAATAAACCACTTAATGTTTGCTTTTTTGCAATTACCTATTCCAGTTGTGGCATTTTAATATGTTTATTATGCTATAGTCATAAAAACAAAGTTTAATTTAATTAATAAGAAATGTAAAAACCCGGATACGGACTAATATTATACTATAAGTATTGTGCGTATTATAATCAGTTGAATATTATTATTTATTTATTACGGGCAGTGAGCCTCATCAAAAATGAATACTGAATAAGTTATTTTACATGCATCGAAATTAATTGTATTAGAAACTCCAAAATTATGATAATATAAGCATTTAATACATAGAAATAAAATGAAATATGTACAATTATTATTTATAACACAAAACCAAGTGTCTTTAGAAATTTACAACACAGACATAAAGTCAATAAAGACATATTAATTTTAAAAGACATTTCGATAATTATTATTTTTTAAATTGTAACATTTTCCTCTTTAATATCTTAGATATATTTGTATGATCAATATTATTTAGATTCACATGATATAATGATAATATTCCTAATATATTAATAGATATCAAACTGACAGTTTATATGATATGTAACGATATGTAAACCAATATACTAGTTAAGATAACCAGGGATATTGCAATTTACTTATTAAATGAATATTTGATTTATGATATCTACATAATACAACAGTGAATAATATTTTAAATATACAGTGCAAACTGCAAAAACAATTTTAGTTCAATAGGTACATACGATTCTCGCCTCACTTAATAACGGCCGCAACACAGTAACCTTCGGAGAAATTGTTTGGCCCTCTTCCACTGCGAACGCCGACGTTTGCAGGGTTCGGCCGGTTGACGTTCCTCCGGTTCGAGCCGGTGAACTGGTTCCGTCTCATTGACAGCTACCAACACGCGGCCGAACGACACGATAGTCTCTTGTTCTGTGTCTACGTCAGCCGTAGAGAACTCTATGGCAATGTTCGGCATACAACCTTCAGCCGTCGGCTGACCTGCCATTGTAGCCAGCGCGACGTAGCATAACTCTTTCAAGCTGACGCAGCGGCTTGACGGATATGTTGTTTCAACGCAGTCGCCGACTGGGCCAAACTGCGTTTCACACACGAGACTGACGTCACCACTTCGCGTCTGCCTTGTGACTTCTGGATTTTCCTCAGGGCCGCGGTAATGATCTTCATTAGCCGACAGAGTTATGGTCACAATGGTCGAGCAGTTCCTCAGTTCGGTGTAAACATTTTCCAGAAGTCGTTCTGCCGGCGATTTTACAAGTCCCGACAACTCGTTCTCTTCGGATACGGTGATAGACGACATTATAATAGGTTGATTTAATTCGGAAAGATTTTATCAGTTTTTGAAAAAAATGATATAATTCGTAAGGCAGTAAGTTCTTGTTGGTCGTATGACGGACAAACAGATAGTGAATTCAAATAAGCAAAAAAATTGTTATTATAACTATATGGTTGTACATGGTAACGATATTTTTAAAACTGTTTCTTGGAAATAATATACGTTGTAAGAATTTATTAATCATCTGGTAACTAACGGATGAACGGACAGCACGACGGGGATTTAAGGTGTTCTAAAGTTCTAAACTAATGTTTAGGAACCTAAAACGGTTAAATCATATGACGTAGAAATCCAGTAGGTTAATTTTAGACTCTACAAAATGGTCATAGAATCCAAGAACTGTACCTACCTAGGTTATAGGTATATAATTGAATAGGTAAATATAATATAATATATCGTTTCAAGTTTATTAAACTATTTTTTTTCTTTTTAAATAATACATTTTCTACAACATTCAATAAAAATATAGAGTGTATTTTGGCATCTCTATATTTTCCGCTTCTTATTAACCGGCCATAAAATTTACAAATTCGCTATGACTGATGCATAAAAGTTAAAATATATTATGAAAACCGTAATGCGTGCAATATAATATAATATTATGTATGGAGATAATGTATATATTTATTATTTATAGATGTAGGTGGTACAGGCGCGGATCTAGAACTAAAATTGAGGGGGGGTCATATTTACGAAAAGACAAAAACTTAATACACAGTTAAGAATACACAGTTTTGGCTTCTTACTGAAGAATGTGTCTATTTTACTTACCGACCCGCTATTTCTTTTAAATGAATCACCCTACATAAAATACAGAAAGACATTTCAAACATTTTATACTAAGATAAAATGAAAATACAAAAAAAAAAACTATAGTTAAATAGGGAATGCAAAATGTTTTTACAGAGGGATATTTATAATTTTAGTTATTTTTGTATACCTATAGATTATAAGTAATTTTCTATTGGTATAGAATAAATAATATATCAGAAATCAAAATCACTACTACTTATTAAATATTTTATCATTTAACAAATATAAAAAATTATATTTATAATATTATTTTTTTTTTATTGTGCTACCAATATTTAACTATACCAGTAACAACCTATTTAAGTGTTAACAATCAACCATGTTGCCGTTGAATATGATAATTATAATATAAAAGTCCTTGATATATGACGAGAAACTTAAGATTTATGAATCAAAAAAGTGAATTTGCATTATAAATAAAGATATATTAAAAATGTTATAAAAGTATTGCACACTTTTTAATTTGTTGCTACACATTTCATAATTGCTACTGCATTGCGGGATCACATTTTACGTATAGCTTGTATTTTTTCTATAATTTTAATCAAATATAATTAACTTATAATTAACGACGATAAGATATCGCTATAAACATATTATGAATTAGTTCGTACTTTATTTTAATAATGAAAAATAAATAATTTGGAATTTAAAATTTAAAATTTAAAATTCAATTATATAAACTTAATTTTTATACAAAATACATGTTTTTACTACGGATGTGTCCCTCAAGATTTCTAGAAAATAATAGGTCCACTGCATAAAAAGGTTGTAGACTCCTAATATAAACTATTAGCTTATACATTATAATCATTTGAATAATAAAATGCTCGATTGAAACTTCATTTGAATAGGAATTGTATCGATTATTACAATAATTATAATTATATACTCACCATAGTTTTTTTTCGTACTCGACGACTGATGCACGTGTCCCAGACGTTCACAGCAAAATAAAATGATTCAATAAGCAGTCAAACATTTATTAACGTTGTATATGGTATTTTCAATTTTGTAACAAATACGGGCTATTAGTGGTGATAAGAATAACCGTTATCAGAAATGGCATTTGGTTCCAAACAAACATATTTTAACACTGGATTTAATAGGAACAAAACAATTTTGTTTTTAATTAATTTTATTCTTATGATTTTTTTGCTTCTTATGGTTAAATATTGCGCCAAATTGTATTAAGATACCACCTTTTATCACTTGAAACCATAATATTATCTGAATTTGTTTACGGTTTACTTTTAAAAAACGTTAACAGAAACTCGTCTATTGCTAGTATTTGTAAAATTGTTGCTTTTTCTTTCCTTAAATGTATTTTACCTTTAATAATGGCTGGAAATCATGTATTATCCATTAGTTCTCTGTGTAGTTTTTTTAAAGACAATATGAAACAGTTTAGAAGAGGTGAAATAGCATATAAAGATGGCCATGTATTAAAATTCCAGGCAGATTTAGAGCAAAATATTGTTGTAGGTGACGTCAAACCGAGTATGAAGAGTGATCCTTACAAGGTTAGGATTTTATTAAATGACGGTAGTATATCTGATACCCATTGTTCTTGCCCACGCGGAGTTGCAATTTGTCACCATATTGCAGCTTTGGCATTGTATATCCATTATAACCTTAGTTCAACTGACAAAGCTTGCTCGTGGAGTGCTAGACCAGTTAATGTGTCTAGTAATGTAAAAAATATTAACGATATGTATGGCACATATAATATTCAAAATACAAGTATTGCTGAGGTGGATTTTGAAAACTTCAAAAATACCATCAACAATTTATCTGTTCCTGTAGGATTTACATGGTTGTTAAAGCCAGAACCAGAAATAAAAGAGGCCAAATTTGTACTTCCAACTATAAAGAGCTTTGTCCAAGATTGTAAACAATTGGTAAAAAAAAATGATTATGAGGCAATAAAATTGTATTTACAAAGTAAACTGTATATACCCAATAATATAGTAGAGCAAATTGCTAAGGAAACCATTGGGCAGAGTGAAAACCCATTATGGTTTGAATATAGAAAAAACCGAATAACTGCAAGCAAATTTGGTGTAGTTCTAGCAGCTTGTAAAAGGGGTAAATTTTCAAAATCCCTGTTTAAATCACTAGAAAATAATGCTAATATAAAAGGTATACATGCTGTACAATGGGGTATTACAAATGAAATCGAAGGTATTAAAGTTTTAGAAGAAAATAAAAATGTTAAAGTTGTTTCTACAGGTTTATGGCTGAGTAATAACGGTTTTCTGGGAGCTTCACCCGACGGAATCGTAAATTCTGATTATATTGTTGAGGTGAAATGCCCTTGGAAATATAGAAATAAAAATCTTGAAACTGAAATAGAAAAAGACCATAATTACATTGTATATAAAGAAAATAATATAATTTTAATTAACAAAAATCATATATATTGGGACCAAATCCAAGGGCAATTATATTTGACCAAGCGTAAATGTTGTTACTTGGTAGTATGGACACCTGGTCAGTCAATTATAATAGATATTGAAAAAGATGTGGAATGGGAAGTAAACTTGGACATTTTAGAGAGATTTTTTATCACCAAATACATACCATCTCTCATCCAGATGTAGAATTTTACTTTTAAACCATGTTTTTATTTAATTTGTTATAAGCATCGTTATTAATAACCTTATTATTAAGTTTTATTTATTTGAATAGTTTTTTACCAAAGAAATGGTCAAAGATAGGCCAAAGGAACCTTTTATTTTAATTTGTATTTTATTATTAAATTCTATACTTTGTTATTCTAATATTTGATTTAATTTCTGTTATTATGAACATTATTTTTTACAAAAATAAGATTACATTAATTCATATTATGTAGAGCTTAAATTAATTATAGGTACATAATATTATCAAGTTCCTGAAAAGATTTGAAAGTTCCTTTTACTTCAGTACAGTATCAATTATTTAGTTTTAATTACATTAGGACAATAGTATAAAATATGTAAATCTTTTCAAAGGTTAATTTTAATAGTATATAAAAAAATAGATTGTAGAACTTTATAAATTATAAATTTTCATTTATTTTATAATTTAATACATAGGTACTATTTGTTTTTTTTTAAATATTTACATCTTATCTTTAATTTCCTGTAAAAGAGGTGGCTGTAAATTTGTTAAAGCTGCGATTACTTGAAATATAGAATTAGCTTGTTTTAATAACGAGGAAGGAATAAAGTTTAATATATCATAGCATTTTATGCGTTGTATTGCCCTTTCAATGTGTATACGGGCTTTAGCAATCGATTCTGTTTGAATAATTTGTTCTTGTGTAAATTGTGGAGTATCTAAGAATGGGGGTATATTTAATAATACACCTGGAGGCAAGATATCTTGAATTAAAAATCCTTTATCTGCCATCACTAGATCACCGGGTACTAGCTGTTCAAGTATGCCACTCCTTAGAGTTATCACTTTGTCTGATGTCGACCCAGGAAATAGATCACTCACAAAAGTAACAACTCCATTTGGAGCAATTCCAACAAGTACTTTCCAAGTATTACGGTGTTTATAGCTACTATAAGTATCCCTTTGAGCATTCATGGACAAACGTGATACACTTGTAAAAACCTCAGTACAGTCAATGACCACACGACAATTTGAAAAATTTTTGAATGCATTAGGAAGGCAAGTTTTATTTTTATGTCTGGATGGTATTTTATTCATACATTTACTAAAAAGTATGTTGTGTAAAATATTTATCCAAGTTATTGTAATATTACTTATAGTAGCTACACTACATCCAAACCTCACAGATAAGTCTACATGAGGAAAATTATGTCTCAGCTTCATTAATGTTATGAGTAATTGGTCAGGTTTACTTATGCTGTTTACTTTCCAATTCAAATAATAATGGATTTCACAATTTTTTAGTAAATTAAATAGGGCCAAAAATATTTCATTAGAAGGTAATCCTGTGTAAAACATAACAAGTTCTTCTTTTTGACACAAGTTTTCATATGCAAATGCAACACTTAAGCTGTTAATTTTTAGTTGTAATATTTTGTTTTTTTCTTTAAGAGAATAGTTTTCAAGCTCCATATTTGATGGTTTAAAACTGTAATAAAATACATGGTTTTTAATATCTAAATAACCAAACATTAATAATATAATAT